ATAAATGGAAGAAGGGATTGTAGAAAGCAACCCTCCATACCTCTATTTTTCACACAGGATGATGAATATTAGAAGATACAGTTTAGCGACTGATGACAGTGGAACTTTGCCTAAAACTGCTGCATTTGCAGCAACTATAAGAAGAACTGCTTATTTTAAGAATGCTGGAACTTTTTTTTCCCCCTGTGCAACATCCTACTTTTCAGAATAGGATCAAGCTAGGATGATACTATCTGAGCATGGGGTGGAATCTGGATGAGCTTTCTGGGCTTTGAAGTTACTTGAATGAGGTGCCACTGGGAATTCCACGGTTCAACGTTTCAATGGAAAGATGAAAAACATTATTGACAGTAGTGCACTCCTTCCATATGGTTGCAAATAAATAAGTCTAAAACCTACGTGGATATATTCATAAAGTCACTAGAGATCAAGTTTGAATCAAAAGAAATTTTAAGAAGATCTGCCTATCTCAAGCAGAATATGTTAGTAGGGATAGCAAGTATCATACTCAGCTTCAAAACCTTGTTAACGCAACAGTAAAAAGATAATGCAGGTAGTCTTGACTTATGATTAGTTGCTTGGCAACCAGTTGAAGTTATGACAGATCCCCTCCCCTTGCAGAGGGCCCAGCTTTGAGGATCCAATGTTGGGATCATGTGACCACATTTTGGTGCTCAGCAAAGGGCCCCATATTTAGGGCAGGGGTTTCCAACCATGGCAACTTGAACCCCAGCTGGGGAATTCTGGGAGTTGAAGTCCTCCAGGCTTCGAGTTACCAAGGTTGGAGATCCTTGCCCTAGGGTCATGAGATCATGGTTTATAACATTTTTGACAGAAACCAGCATTTATTTCTGATTTCTGGAAAAAAAACATCCCACAATAAACAATGGAATCATTTAATGACCAAGATGTTTGCTTAGGACTGTCACGACTTAAGTCAGCATTTGCTAGGTTCAGTTAGGGTTGTAACTATGTGTATTGCTGGCAATTTAACTATAGGTAGTCCTCATTTAGCAACCACAACTGGGATCGATAACTTGGTTGTTAAAATGAAGTGGTTGCTAAGTGAAACTGTAACCATGTTTATGATTTTATTTCAGTTTTCCTTTGTTTTACAGACAGGGCAAAGGTCATGAATGTGAGGATTGATTGCAAATATACTTTTTCATCACCGTTATAACTGTGACTGGTCTATAAACTGGGTGGTTGCTAAGCAAAATTACCATACGAAAATCACCCTTCCTGACTCGGCACCCTCCCAATGTGTGGGGGAATAAATCACAATAAGGTTGAGGAAGGCCAGATTACATGAAAATGTTCTCTCATGGAGTAAATGTGGACTTATCTGAAATCCCCGATGCTCTAGGAATTATACACTGTATGACTCTAGCAGAGAAAATTCAGAGAAACACACTTAAGTTATTGAACTTTCCTATATAAGTTGCTTAACAATTACCTGATAAATATCTTAGGTTGACAGTCAGTGCTACTGTTGTTGTCTCATCACAAGATAGTCATCAGGGCAATGACTCATGGACAAGAGTGCAGCACAACAGTATTATTGTTATTCAACCTCTGTTCACAACTGCCACACTTTACAAGTCCAGCGATGGTGCATACAGCATTCTAAACTGAAAACCAGGGTAAACAGAATTTAATTACTGCGTTCCCATAAGCATGCTATAGCCAAACCAAAGGAATTATGACTCACAATGAAATTCCCACACTATGTTAATATGGCGAGTGGCCAACAACCTGATGAATCATAGACTACCCAATCCCATTTTCACATAGTTTACAGTAGTGTGTTGTAACTGATGAGAAGGCTAGGACATGAAAACAAATGTGCAGAACTTTCTTTCTTCACTTCATAAACTTCTGCACAGCATGTGGTTTCTTTAAAGCCCTGGCCAATTATCTCAAATGGATTTAACCAGCTGTAGGAAGGACATGGTGGCTCGGTAGCTAAGACGCTGAGCTTGTCAATCAGAAAGGTCGGCAGTTCAGTGATTTGAATCCCTAGCACTGCGTAACGGAGTGAGCTCTCATTACTTGTCCCAGTTTCTGCCAACCTAGCAGTTCGAAAACATGTAAAAATGCAAGTAGAAAAATAGGAACCACCCTTGGTGGGAAGATAACAGAGTTCCGTGCACCTTCGGCATTTAGTCATGCCGGCCACACGATCACAGAGACAACTTTGGACAGCGCTGGCTCTTCGGCTTTGAAATGGAGATGAGCACCACCCCTTAGAGTCAGGAACGACTAGAACCTTTAACTTTTAGGAAGGAGTAGAGATTTTTTTTTCTTCTCCAATGACTCTGGTAAGCACTCATGACACCCCCCCCTGTGCTCTATAGTGACATGGGTGAAGAACACCCTGTTGAATAAGTAATATTAAATAGATGGTGGAGGGGGGAATGGTTCGTCAAGATGGTGAGGATCACTAGTCAATCCAGGAGCACAGCTGGCACAGCAGTTCTTTCATACTATGCAAAAGGGACAGCTCAATATCCTTTGAGTTGCAGCTATTTCTAGGTGAACAGATAAGAAACTGAATCTTGAAGACAAGGACTTAAGAAAAAAGTATTTATATGGGCTTGCTTCTGCAGGGGGGAGGGGTGTCCTTATCCAGAGATAGATTATTATCCAAGATTTTTCAACACCCCTTTTATAGTCCGGAACACCCTCATGTCAACATTTTAATGAAATGTCATGAATTTGGATAGCATTTTCCAGTATAACATAGTGCCTTAACACTTGCAGAAGGTCAAGAGCCATTATTTTATACTCCCCTCTCCCAAATCCTCTCTCCCTCCCAAATGGACTGATTTTTCCTATCAGAGAAAGTTAATGGACAAAACTTTTAAATATTCCCCTACCTGCATCCCCAAAATAGTTAAATAATTGGTCCTGCTTATTCCAGTCAGATCATTACAGGACTAGTGGTTATATGCCAGGCTACATGCCAGGAGACTTGTGAATTCTAGTCCCACCGTGAGCATGAAAGCCAGGTAGGTAACCTTGGGTCAGTCAATCTCTCTCAGACCAACTCATCTAACAGGGTTGTTGTGGGAAAAATAGGAAGAGGAATGAGTATTAGATCTATTTGCTGTCTTGAGTTATTTATATAAATAAAGGGAAATATATATTAATTCATATCCAAAGCCGCAGAATTAAAAAGACAGCCAGCCTCTAAGTGCAATAAGTCATTTATTTCTGTACACAATGGTTTGCAAGTGACAATGGCTGACTTTAGTTAAGATGGTAAATCAAAATGAAGCCAATCACACTGTGGCTTAACGTAGTTGGTATATTCAGTCTGAGATAGCTTTAAATCCAACAGATCTTATTTCCACATAGCTGGGTCTGCAATGAATGGAGCCTATTTATTAGATAGTATGTCTATTGCAACTTGCTTTTCTTTCATCAGATTGTTCAGTAAATATATACCAAGAGTGGGAAATGTCTTTTGGATAAGTAGATGATGCTTAATTTACCAAATTGCAGGGGTCCCACATTGAAAAGGAAACCATTTCCCCCCTCAATGATAAAAAGTGCAGTTTTGGGAAAGTGTGCTTATGATAACTGAGGAACACAGCTTGATCAATAACAGCTGCACATGTTTAGTGCAGAGCAAAACATTGCCTGCCAATGTGCCTTGTCTAAGATTTGTGGACTACCCTGCTTTCCAATTTGACTAGAGGAAAACTGGAATATTTCATTGTTTTATTTTAAATTAACAGCATTTTTTTACTAAACCATACATTGAAATGAACTCTGCTATGTTTTGTTGTACAAGCCAATCCATGAAGCAGGCTTGTTGGGGCAGCCCTTGAAGAGCATTCGGAGACTCCAGCTCATCCAGAATGCAGCCACGCAAGCAATTGTGGGTGCACCTCGGTACACCCACGTTACACCTATCCTCCGCGAGCTGCACTGGTTACTGATTGGTCTTCGGATACGCTTCAAGGTGCTAGTTGTCACTTATAAAGCCCTTCATGGTATTGGACCTGGGTACTTGAGAGACCGCCTGCTGCCAATTACCTCCCAAAGACCCATTAGATCACACAGATTAGGCCTCCTCCAGGTTCCGTCTACTAGCCAATGTCATCTGGCTACTACCCGGGGGAGGGCCTTCTCTGTGGCGGCTCCGGCCCTTTGGAACGAGCTCCCCGCAGAAATTCGGACCCTCACCTCTCTCCAGGCCTTCCGAAAAGCCGTTAAAACCTGGCTGTGTCGGCAGGCCTGGGGTCGATGAGTTCCCTTCCCCTCTCGAATCGTGTGGTTCTTGGTTGTTTTAAATTCCCTGTACTTTTTGTTGTAGTTCTTGTGTTTCCCTCCCCCTCCTTGGGTTTGTGCGCCACCCTGAGTCCCCCCCCCGGGAATAGGGCGGCATATAAATAAAATGAACCTTGAACCTTGAACCTTGTTATGAAATTGATAATTCTAGATGAGGAATAGAAAGATTGTGATGGGTAGGAGTGCAGAGGAAGACTTTTAGTACTTCTCAAAGTCAGCAGCTTTAAGAAGATGAATTCTGGGAGCTGAAAGCAAGACTTATTAAAGTTGCTCAGGGTTGAGAGCTACCGCTTAAGATGAAAGCCTCATTGGGCCAGGATTCCTTTTCATGATAGGAGTGAGATTCTCCTGGAAAGGTCATGAAATTACATGTTTGCATTAAGTTGCAGATGTGGAACCTATTTACTGTATGTACTGTATACTGAATTCAGATGGATTTACCCATTTTTAATGCAGATCTTTGTCTCCACAATTAAGTGAGTGTCTTCTGATCGCTTCCATCCTTTCTTTCAGTTTGGATCAATTTATCCTTTTTCTACCAACCATTATTCATAATTGCTTCAAACATCAGAGGCAATGAAGCCATACAATAACCAAATTAGAGATAATTCTCTCTGTAATTGACTTTAGAAAGCACGTATTTTAACATACTTTCAAACTGTCAAAAAAACCCCACAGTGTTGTTTTTTCTTTGATTCTAGGCATTCTGTTGGTGTGGAAATTATAGCTGTTGAAGGTGGATTAAACACGTGGATCTGTAGGTAGTGAGCAAGAAACATACCATGCCCGTCCTATCTGAAGATTCAGGTAATAGAATTTCTGCTACCTTAATCATGATGTCATTCTTGGTTTATGTTTTAGAAAATGTGGTTTTCTAGAATGATCTTACATGGGACTGGAGGTTCAGAAGCCTTTAAAGATAAGCCAGTTTCTAGTGCTATTTATTTACTGATCTGAACTCATGCAATAGTTTAAAATAAGCTGATAATTTTAAAAAAAAACAAAGCTAATGTATCAACAACAAAAGGAAACCTAATATCAGTAAACTGATAATAAAATGTGAAAAAACAAAGAAAAAGCAGTATTCTTTGGCCATTTCTTTTTCAGATTATAAGTCAGTTTCCCCTGATCTGGTGGCCCTGAGGTATGGCTAGTACAACTCGTGGCACGCCAAAACCGTGGTAGACTACAGCGTGCCCGACGAAAGCGCGTACGTGATGTCATCAGCAGCGCGACAAATAAAATTAAAAATAAATTAAATTAAAATAAAATTAAAGCAAGCC